ATGTGTGCCCATACACATGTGCACACACACATACACAACCGCTCTTCCTAGAAGCTTCAATTTTTGAGATTTTTGAGTGAATTGCCTGGGTGCTGTTTCTTTGGCATATGAGTAAATTGCAGTAAGCTAACAGATGGATGTCAATCTGTTTCCTTGTCTGTAAAATTGTGATTTTGGCTAGATAGCCTATGAAGAACTTTATCTCTGACATCTTATGATTATTATCTGATATCACTGAAAAATGTGCCATTAGGTCATATCTGAAAATCATTTGGGGGCTTTTGTCACAATATTTAGGAACAGTTCTTCCTCATCACAATTTCCCATCTCACGATACTTTTAAAAAATAGGAGAGGAAAAACAAAAGCCTGGAACAAATGTATATCCAGAACACTAATTTGATAATAATAATATTTAATGTTTATTGAGCACTTCCTATGTGCCAGACAGTTTGCAAAGCACTTTTTTATGGAACATTTCATTTAATCAGATACCAACCATATGAGTTAGGTATGGTTGTTCCTAATTCATGAGGAAACAGAGGTTCAGAGAGATAAGTTTAGGTGCTCAAGGTCACACCACTAGCAAGTGCAAAGCCATCATCCAAACTTGGGTCCTCCTGACGATGCTGTATAGATTTTTTTTTTCTAAGAGCTCAGAAAAAATGTTAGAGTAAGAAAAGATCTGAGCACGTGAACCAGCCTTCATGATGAACTAGAGCCAGAAGGATAGCAATGGGAACAGACAAGCTAATTTTCCAAGACTTGTTTCTCCATGTATTGGCTTTGATGGGATGGCTTTGCATTATCACGTCATCTCACTGATCAGAATTAGAGGACAGAAGTCTCACCTCACTCAAAAATTGGTCTTTCATGTCTTCTGGGTTCATCAGAACCGGGATGAGAAAATCTGCTTTGAGGATTCCAAAGAGTTGCCCTGAAAAAGAAAGTATTACCTGGATCAAGGCAAATTATCCCATTGCCATTTGAAAACTTCATGTTCTTAGTGGTCAGGGAGTGCCCACTGGACACAATAGAGGCTACATGGTGATTTAGGACTTTAAAAGGAGAAAGAAACCAGCTAGTGGCCGATAGTAAAGTGTCTCACGAGTGGAGTAACTGCTGCTGTCCTCCCGTAACCTGGCCACCCTCAGGCAGTTATTTTCTTTGCTCTCTCTTCTGTATTTTCCTCCTTTTAAGCTTTCTTTTTGGTGGGGTGGGGGAATGTGTCACGCAGCTTGTGGGATCTTAGTTCCTCGACCAGGGATCGAACCCTGGACTGCCAGGGAACTCCTGTTTCTTCCTTTTAATAAAATTATCAAGTAGATTGTTCCACACCATGCTGGAAATATTCACCCCTCCCTGGACCCACATTTGTAAAGGCCAACTCTACCCCAGAAAACTCTTACATTCTCTGAGCCTATAAACAAGCTCAGCCTTTGGCCCTGAGCACTGCAATCATAGGAACTACAGCATCATATAGGACCACCTTATAAAGTTAATAAAGTACCTCACTATCTCTTTGGGTACTTGAACAACCCTGTGATGAAGGCAGGGTCGTTTTTACTACATTCCTTCTGCAGATGAGAAAGATTTGTTCCCTGAGCTTTCACAGTTGTCAGGGAGCTAACTCTAGGATCCTCACCCTTATTCCCATCCTAGCATTTCATAGAAAGGTCTTGAGTGCCCCATGCTGAGGAGTGGCTGTCCAGATTTGATTGATTGGTTGTTAAGAGTGAGAAACTTGGTGGCCAGAAGCAGTTAATTACCTGGTTTCGGTGCTGGAGTTTTTTCCTTAGATTCTGGGTGATTAGCTGAGTTCCAGTGTTGGGCCTGAGTGGCAGGAGCTGTGTCTGTCATATTGGTGCCACGCCTTTCACTTGTCACAGCTGCAAGAGGGGAAAATAAGGGAGTTACTGCAAATACAGCCAGGAGCAAGGTGGTCTGAGACAGGTAACTGCCCCTGAGCTAAAAGACAGGCCTTGGCGGCCACCATCCTACAGAAACCATCCCGTGTGGGAAGCTCAGTCCTTCCTAGGCCCTTCACTTACCCCACAGGCTCATGGGGGGTAAGTGAACATCATCCCTCATAAAGTGTCTCTCTTATCAGGATTTGTGGGACTTGGGCCATATTATATCTCCTCAGTACCAAATGTTTATTTTTCGTAGCTCCCACCCCAAGAAGCCCAATCCCCCTATGTAGTCTGCCAGCTACACAGAGCCCCACCATAGTACCCAGGGACCCCCAGCATCTCCATCAAGGGGTAGAACCTCAGAGTACATATTCCAAAGCCAAGCTCAGCAACCCCCGCACCCCCGTTATGGTTGCCCATCCCCTAAGGCTCTCCAGCCAGAGACCCCACATAACCCCAGCTGCTCCCTCGCTCCTTCTCACTTGCTCTCACATTCAGTCACCAAAGTCCTGTCAGTGCCTTGCAGATGTCTTTTTTTCCCAAATATGGAATATTTGAACCGTATTGTTTTGTGATATATTATTGTAAAGTATTTAAGTAAAAGTGTCCCCTCCCCTGACCCAGGGACAACCACTATTAACAGTTTGCTATAGAATATCCTTCACACACTTGAATTTTTTTATTTGAATGCATAAAGATCTACCTTATTCTCTTTCAAGGCTGCATAGTATTTCATTGGATGTACATAACTTATTTAATCAATCTGCTTTCAATGGACATTAGATTTCTCCTCCAGTTTTTCACTGTAATAAACAATGCTGCAACAAACAACCTGTGTGTGGAGGGTACGTGTCAATGTGTGTGTGCACCTTGTACTGTTATTTCCTTAATAAACTTCCAAGGGTAGAATTTCTGTATGAAAGAGTATGCACATTTCAGAACTGACACACATTGCAAGAATGGGAATGCCAGTTTAATGTGCTGTCCAGCGTCTGAGAGTGCTGATTTTCTCACATTCTTATCAGCATTATCACTCCAAATCGTTGGCGAACTGGTAAGTTAAAAAAATTAAAATGTTAATACATTTTAATTTGCATTTCTGTGATTCAGTGAGCAAAGCCGAGCATTTTGTAAAATATGTTTGTATTTATATTTCTTCAGTTAATATCACTTGCAAGCAATGTGAAATCAGCTCCAAGTCCCTGCTCACCCCACTGCTCCAGTTCTGACCTCGACTTCACTCTCCCAGACTGTGCAAGTCTTTCCCCCCACACACACACTTCCGGTGTCTCCACATGCCCTTTTCTTTCCCCATCCGAAGAATTCTACACTTCTTTAGTGACGTGAATAAGTTTTATGACGTCCAGAAGCACAGAAGGCGGGGAAACACACACATTCTCGTTGCCTGAATGTAACCATGAACGTTGTCACACACTTTCTTCTAATCTTTTTTTCTAAGCACAGGTTGACGTTTCCTTTCAATGTTGTGACTGTGTTACATGTGTGATGTTGAATCATCATCTTTTTTTTCCCGTTAGCATCCTGACACAGGCATTGCCCCGTGTCACTGTTACTGTCATCACAACCACCTTGCTTCTATTGACTACAGATCTGAGCATTTTGCTGCCTTGCTAAGAAACCTCTGATGGCTCCACTGACTGCAGGATCCAGTCCACCTCTCTCCCCTCATCCCTTGCTGCGTGCGTGACTGCCTGCTAAGTTGCTTCAGTCGTGTCCAACTCTTTGCAACCCTGTGGACTGTAGCCCACCAGGCTCCTCTGTCCAAGGGATTCTCGGGGCAGGAATACTGGAGTGGGTTGCCATGCACTCCTCCAGGGAATCTTCCCAACCCAGGAATCAAACCCACGGGTCTTTATGTCTCCCACTCTGGCAGGTAGGTTCATTACCACTAGCACCCCCTGGGAAGCCCTCATCCGTTGCTACTTCCCTTCCAAATATGTGACAGACATTCCAGTCACCTCAAAATATTTGTTTTCCCTGCACATGTTCACATCGACCTATCTTTGCTCATGCTGTTCCCTCTGCCAAGAAGAACCTTCTAGCCTTTGCTGCCTGATGAAATCATTCATTACCTTCTGTCCATTGACCACCACCTTTCCAGGCAGAATGAATGAGTCATTTTCCTGTCAAGGCTCTTGGTTCACCCTTCTGGGGGCAGTACTTACCAAAAACTGTCCTAGTTGTCTCTATTAGCCCTTATTAGACTAAACTCTTTTAAAAACAGGAAACAGGTTCTGCTCATCTTAGTATCCATTGCCTTGTTCAAAACAGGTACTCAGGAAATGACTGTTGAATTAAATCATCTACCAGTATGCAAAACACTATCCTAGGCCTGGGAAAGATACAAAGAGGCATAAAACATAAAACAGCCCCTGCCCTGTGAGATTTTACAGTCTTAATAATTCATAACAGTGACCATTCATAATCATTTATAATTAATAAAATGAGAATGAGGCCAACCCTGACGGCTGAGTCAAGTAAGGACAGGGATGAGAGACTGAATGAATCACTAAGTATTTCACTACTGAATTGAGATTAGAAATAACTACCATGAATTGAATGTCTGCCAGATGCCAGGCACTGAAAGATACCTCCTGACATCCAGTATTTTTCTTTACTTTAAAGATGAGAAAAGTGAAGTTGGGAGAGATTGGGAAATATGCCTAAGACCACACAGTAAGTAGAGGACCCAACATTCTAACCCTTGACTGTTAGACTTCTCTAGCCAAGATAAAAATTTTCTCCCCTAGATTGCCCCACCCTAAATTATTATCCAGGGAGGATGAGGAGGTAAACTGGCTCCAGCCCGTAAAGTGACTCCCCATGGAGTGATCCAGAAGGTACCCAGGGGGTGGAGACGTGGCCCAAAACACACCCTTCCCCACCCCCTTACCTCCCTGACTGGTGGCCGGGGCATGGAAACTAGGGCTTGTCTCCCCAAAGGAGGAGCCGGGCTCCAGGCCAGGGTCCCCAACCCCCCGGCGGGCGGGCACCTGTGTCGGGCCATGGCCGGCTGTCAGCTGTCTCCGGGCCTGCGGCCTGGCTCTGGGCTGGCCCTTTCCGGGGCATGTTTGTTCTTTGGAGCACAGCTGAGCTTCCTGAGCTGGAAGGCTCCACGGTGCTTTCTTCGGTCCCTGGAGTTTCGGCACCGCGGGACCCACTGGATGTGGCCGCCCCAGAGGTCACCGTCACCCCTGGGTGAGCCGAGGCCCCACGGGTGGACCTGAGCGAGGGGCCCGCTGCGTCCTCCCGCGGCCTCCCGGGCCCACCCTGGGTACCGGAGTCCTCCGGGGGCGCGGGGCCTGGAGCAGGGCTGGAGGCGGAGGCCTGGGGGCTCTCGGTCACTCCCTGGGGGACAGAGGGGCTTCCTGAAGGGATTGGCTCCGCGGGGTTCGGGGTGGGGGTCGGTGAGGCGGCCGAGGGCGCGGAGCCTGGAGCAGGGCTGGAGGCGGAGGCCAGGGGGGGGGTCTCGGTGACTCCCTGGGGGACAGAGGGGCTCCTCCAGTGGACCAGCTCCGTGGGGCTCGGGGCAGGGGTCGGCGAGGAGGCCAGGGGCGCGGGACCAAAGGACATGTTCTGGGTGGTGACCGGCGAGGTCCAGGGCCCTCCATCCGCGGGGACTGGGACGTGGGCCGGAGGGCTCAGAGACGCTGTCTTTCTGGGCTGGGGTGCGGCAGGGCCCGCGGAGGCGGAGGTGCCGGAGCCAAGGGTGCTGGAGCTGAGCTCGGGGGGGCTCCGGGCTGACTTGCTGCGGGAAAGGCCCCGCCGAAGCCCGACGTTTCATGGCGTCCGCGGGACCGAAGCTGGTGCCTACGGAGAGAGAAGGCTTCCCTGGGGCTCCAGGGCGCTGCATCTGCAGCCGCCCGGCGGCTTCTCCTCGCCTGGCCCTGCACACGCGTCGCAGACACGGTGGAGCCGGGCGGCGGGCCGGGGAGTTCCTGAACCCGCCTGGTAGAGCCTGGGTGACCAGCGAGCCCCCCAGCATCTCAGCCCAATCCCTTGTTCCTTAGCAGCTCACAGGGACCCCCAACCCTGCAGCATCCAGGCTGCCCCGCTCAGCCCTAAGCATCCCCTTCAGACCCCCTCCATTCCCTTTGCAGGCTAACTTCAAAACCATCCCCTCCAGGAGATCCTCGGATAATTACCGGAGCTGGGACAATCCCCTTCCCTGTGTTTCCCACCAGGCCTGTGACTGCACAGGCAGCACTGCCCGTCAGGAGCCCTCCTCCCGCTGGCCGTCAGCCTTCAGAACAGGCCCTGCCTTTGCCTTGTGTCCTTGGAATTAATAAAGCTCTGCGTCCATGAGCTGGTCTCCTCTGTGTCCTCAAAAAGGGCAACAATACCTTTTTCTGGTGTCCGACTTTGTAAAGATGCCAGAACTGTGATTTCTGCCCTCAATTATCCTAGTTTGCTTCAGAACTCACAGGAAGCAAAATGAGATAATAGCTGTGAAAATGCTTCAGGAATTTAAAAATGCTAAAGGCAGGCTATCCCTGTGATTCCCAGCCATGTCCCCCACACACGGCCCCAACAACTCAGCTCTCATCTTCTCTCCTCCCAAAGAAGGGATTCGACGGGCACCTCTATTGCGCTTCCCTGTCTGGATGCTGGACCTCAGGCCTATCTGGTGATTTTTCCTCAGGAGCACTGTGCAGTGGGGCAGTGAGGGGGTCTTCCCCTTTTCCTGTCTCTTGACCTCACCAGAGAGACTACACAGCCTCTCATGGGTCCCCTGGCCCGGGAGCTGCAAGTCCTGTGGTCTAGTTGGAGGAAGGAGGTTGATGGTAACCGAGTCCTCCTCCTTTGACCCCAGTTGGCCCAGCAGAGTGAGGGGCCCAGGGAACTGCCTCTCCGTGAGTGACCCATGTGGAGCAGAAAACGGGGGAGTGTACTTGGCCTGGGCGTCATCCCCACGGTCACTTCTGAGGAGGGCGTGTGGAAGAGCTGAGGGAGGGCTGCAAGATCCCGGTGTCTGATGGTGGGATCTGTAAGAAAACACCAGCGGGGAGTGTGGGAGCAAGGCTGACGTGGGGGAACACACAGCAACCCCAGGTCTGCCACTCCGGACATGCTGCTCTGGTGAGAAGTCCCACCAGACACTGACGATCAACCTCCTGTCACAGAAGCCAGCTCGGGAGGGCGCAGTCATGGGAGAGGTCCCTTCATGATCTTTATTCCTCACAGCAGCTCTTCAAGGGAGGAAACATTGTTCCTGTTTTATAGATAAGGACCACTATTCTCATCAAATCCAAAACACAAAAAGAAACAGCCAAGAATAGGCAAAACCAGAGACAGCAGATTAGTGGGTGTCAGGACTGAAGGTGGGAGACAATGGAGGGGGATGCTCTGCTAAAGGGTAAGGAGTTTCTTATTGGGGGTGATACAGTTGTCCTAAAATTAGATAGTAGTGATGATTGAGTCACGTGGGTTGTACTAAATCTCACTATACTGGCCACTTCCAAAGTGAATTTTAAGGAATGTGAATTGTATCTTAATAAAACCAAAGAAAACAAGAAGGAAGGGACAAAAGAGAAGAAAAGAGAGATGGAAAGAACAAATCGGGATGAAGCCTGTTGCTGAGGAGACACCACACACAAGATCCAGAATAACCAGGTAGGCCTCTGGTTCCCATGTTTGTGGTGACCACAGTTACAGTAGCTAATATCTGTTGGGCATTTACTCTGAGTCAAGGTCTCATCTAGGTCCTTTATATTCATTTTCATTCATCCTTCAAAGCCATATGCTGAGGTGCATCATCAATGCCATTTTGGTTTTTTGCAGATGAAAAAGAGGCTCAGAGATGCTATTCACCTTATTTCTAGCAAGTAATAAAATCTGATTCCAAAGCGCACACTTTTAACCTCTTTGTTGCCAAATAAGTAATTGCCGTTGCTAACTGCTAATGCCCAGAGACTGGATGGGGTCTGTTCTATTCTTTAAAGATCCTCCAGAATTAAATTAAAGCCTGCTCCAGAACTCTGCTAACCTATAGAATCTAGAAGTACTTCCTTAGATCTATCCTCAACATCTCAAGCTGCCAAGAAAACCCATTTCTCATCCCAGTCTAGCCTTGGGGGGCCAAGGGCCAGTGGGGGTGACTGTCACTCACCATTGAAGCAGATGAAGGGTTTCAGGGCAAAGCAGGTCACGGCAGAAATTCTGGAGGGGAAGCTCCAGTACCTACTGAGACCCGCACACAGTCCTGCCCCAAACTTAGGTGGCTGTAGCCAGCTAGGGATGCTGGAACCCCTGTCACTGGACCACCTCGGAGACCCAGAGGCTGCACTGAAGTAGAGGCCAATCCAGGCCTCGGTGTTACTCGTGATGGATTTCAAGTCTTCGTCCATCTCCTCAGTCACCGTCTGCAGGTCAGCCAGGTCTGTGTGGTATCTGCGGCAGTACCCCAATGCCTCCAGCCACATCTTTTCTTGGTCAAATCGCTTGAAGGTCAGATTGCCAAGCTGAACCTCAACTGTAAGTAAAAAACATGGAGAGCACAGGCCTGAGGTCCGGGATCTCTGCCGGCTCAGCCCTCAGTCCTGGTCTGACCCCTGCCCTTACCCCATCCTCAGGTATTAGGTTTGATGAAATCCACAATTTTATAGGCAGACTAAATACCAGATTGGGAGAATGAAGGAGCTGTCACAGCAGCAGCTGGGGAAAAGGACATGCATTAGGGAGAGCAGGGGTTAAGAACTCTCCTGTGGGTCATGTGGCCTTACAAGTCAAGTCTAAGCTTCAGTTTTTCTATCTGTACAACAGGGATGACAAACCTAGACAGTGTATTAAAAAGCAGAGACATCTCTTTGACAACAAATGTCCATCTAGTCAAAGCTATGGTTTTTCCAGTAGTCATGTATGGATGTGAGTGCCAAAGAATTGATGTTTTCAAACTGTGGTGCTGGAGAAGACTCTTGAGAGTCCCTTGGGACTGCAAGGAAATCAACCCTGAATATTCACTAGAGGACTGATGCTGAAGCTGAAGCTTCAGTGCTTTGACCACCTGATGTGAAGAGCCAACTTACTGGAGAAGACCTTGATGCTGAGAAAGATTGAGGGCAGGAGGAGAAGGGGTTGACCAAGGATGGGATGGTGGGTGGCTTCATCAACTGAATGGACATGAGTGTGAGCAAACTCCAGGAGATGGTAAAGGACAGGGAAGCCTGGCATGCTGCAGTCCATGGGGTCACAAAGAGTGGAACATGAATGAGCGACTGAACAACAACACAGGGATAGTACCTAAATGTATTTAAGTGATTAAATGAAGTCATGAATATAAATGATTTAACGCAATACGTGCAAATAATAAACACTCAAGCGGTAGGGTTAAACTTTGCAGGGAGGTAGTGAGGGGGCTAGTTTAATCCTGGTTTAGAATCAGCCCTTCTGTGGTTTCTAGGGAGTGTGCTTGCCACACCAGCTCTTAGGAGGGTCCAAGATTGAGACAGAATAGAGGGAGCGTGACAGGCTCGTGACATCAGGAGAGCCAGGGACAGGAGGTAAGCCTGGCCAGGGGCACACCTGCTGGCCAGGAGGCAGACCAGGCCCACAGTCACGGTCCTGACTTCCAGTGGAGCTCAGACAGACCGAGACGCACTCGCCTACCCTGCCCCTGGCCAGGCCTGTCTTATGGGCAGCACACGAACACCTGTGACCTAAAACAAGGAAAGTTTGGAAAGGTTGTGCTTTGGCATGGACTGGTTCCAGAAACCTGTTAAAGGAAACAGTTCTGTTTGCAGAATTGGGACTCACATCCTCAGATTCAAATAGGGCCTCCCAAGCTCTGACTCCTGCCTGCTCACCAAGTCCCATCTAGATTTGCCTAATACTTCCCTAATTTTCCCTATTCAAACTGGTCTTTTAAAGTTACCCTTTGTTAAGCACCTTGTTCTCTTCTCGCCAGCCTTGAGCTTTGCCTGTAGCACAAGTCATCTTTTAAAATCCTCACTATAATCCCCAGAAGCAGACATCACTTTGCAGAGGAGAAAGGGGAGACTCGGGGAGGCAATGACTTGCCCAAACTCATGCCTTACTAAGTGGCAAGACGAGGTTCAAATCAGGTCTGCCTGCCTTGGAAGCCTGTGCAGTGTTCACTCCACAACGCCGTGTTCCACAGCATGCAGAAAACCAGCTTACAGAGCTGGCTGAGGAGTGCGTTCCCTTTGAAATTTGTCTCTACCAAGAAACTCTTTGTAAAACACCAGGGCAGTAATAGTCCCCTCGTGATATGGATTTCCCTGGTGGCTCAGTAAAGAATCTGCCTGAAAGACAGGAGACCCAAGTTTGTTCCCTGGGTCAAGAAGATAGGAGGGCATGGCAACCCACTCCAGTATTCTTGCCTGAAGAATCCCATGGACAGAGGAACCTGGTGGGCAACAGTCCACGGGGTCGCAAAGAGTCAGACCCAACTGAGCAACTTTCACTCACTTTCGCGAGGTGGAGGGCCTCGACTGTGGAAAGGTGCTGCCCACGCCTCCACCCACCCCCAAGTCACTGGGGTGGGGACATCAGACTGGGATGCAGGCTAGGCTGAGCTCTGCCACAGGCTGGTTGGAGAACCACACCCCCCCCCACTCCCTCCCCCCCCCCCCCACCATGTGAAAAACAAAGGCACTGAGCCTCTGCTTGGGGTCAGCCTGGGGGCAAAGCCAAGGCATCCCTGGGCCTGGTGGGGGGGGGGGGGCGTCACCTGCTCCAGGGGGACCAGTGCCAGGGAAGGCGGAGCCCCGGGCGTGTACCTGGCTTTGGAGTGGCGGTCAGGCTAAGAACTGGCTCCAGGAGGGTGTGGGCCCCCACAGTGGGATCTGTGAAACAAGCCACACGTTATGTGGTGGGGGTGGGGCTGCCCAGGGTCCTCTGCGGGCACCAGGAATCCCAAGTTGAAGCCCGGAGAAACCTAACTCCAGAGTAAGTGGGCCCCTTTGTTCCTATCCATGTGTGTTCCATAAATATATATACTGAGCACCTGTTGTGTGGCAGATGCTATTGCAGGCTCTGGAAAAAATAGCAGCAGGAATAAGGCAAAGCGAGATCTTTGCTCATGAAGAGAATTTGAGAAGGAGTCAGCCTTGCAAAGAGGTAGGAAGGAATATATTGGGCAGAGCTAAGAAGGGATGGGACCACATGTGTAAGACTGTGATTAGAAGTGCTAAGGGAACTTACTGAATATGTCTAAGCAAATTGATTTACTTTTTTTTTTAATTTACATTTTTAAGATTTTACTGTGTACAGAACAGGCTGGAGGGGGCCAGGCAGATGCCAACAAGAGCTGGAGAGAAGCGGATGCAGTTAAGAAGCATCTAGGGAGAATCCAAAGACTCCAGGGGGGTCGGGGAAAGCTCCCCCAACACGACTGTTCCTTCAAAGGGACTCCCATGCCCACTCCAGCACACTCTCCACTCTTCTGGCCTGGGAATTGCAAGATCAAACCTACACTACCCTGGGCTATGTTTCAAGGCCCCATGATGGGCATGGTGTAGCACAGAATTGGGGACCCATCAGGTTGGCCCTCTGTGACCCTATTTGAGGAGCTGGGATGGGCCTTGGCTGACTGAGAGAAAAACAGAAATTGGCCTTTTTTTTTTTTAAGGAAAAAAAAAAAACATATAACTATGTCTATAACTATTCCCTCTGTGATCTCAGAACCGTTAAGACAAGGGCTGCCTGGGCAGAGAGGGGCCAGCCAGAGGCAAGGATGGCTGTGGGGGTGGGGGGTGGGCGCCATTTCCCAACAGCCAGTACCACGTGCATTGAGTAAATGGGTTGTCTGCAGAGATGCACCCACCTGCCTCCCCAAAGCAGGGGTTCTCCCAGGGAGTGACTGTTCCACACGCCCCCAGCCCCTAGAGAAAAAACCACACTGTGCTTTATCAGGAGATAGACCCTGGACTCTGCTCTGGTTTCTGCGTAGATAGATCCCCAACCTGACTTTCCCTGTTCCCTCCCTTTCTTTTTCCTCTTTCCCCAGATCCTTAATTGGCAGAAGAAGGGGACATAACGGAACATTCCAGATTTTACTTTTTGTCTGCCCTAATTTACACCCATTTTCTCTGATGGAGTCTTTGGAATGAGGGACAGAAGAGAAAGAAACTAAGGCAGCAGAGAAGAATGTAGCAAACGAGGGTTAAGATAACAGTCAGTTAATTTTGCTCTGAAAGAACGTGAGCCAGACCCATGCTCGCTCACTGGCTCTGTCTCATTTGCTCCTGAGAAGCGACCCTGGGAGGAAGACCAGGCCCAGGCTGTGACTCTGAACACACCGTAGTAGCAGATGAAGGGCCTCCGGGCAGTGCACCAGGCGGCCCCCAGGCTGGGGAGAAAGGTGATTGAATACAGGGTGGCACAGAGGCCCTCCCTGAAGGTGGGCAGCGAGCCCCACACCGATGCGATGAAGGAAGAGCCGCTGGACCATCTCAGGCCACCAAGGCGCACGTCGAAGAAGAGGCCGACTCAGGCCTCGTGGCTGCTGGTGAGAGAGTAGAGGGCCTTGATGCTACTCCAGCCGGTCATGCTGTGCAGGTCGGCCAGGTCTGTGTGGTGCCGCCGGCAGTACCCCAGGGCCTCGGACCAGCTCAGCTCCTCTGCCACCCGCCAGAAGGTCTTGCCTTCGCTGGTCAGCTGCAGGTCTGGGGCGGGAGAGTTGTCACCTCAGCGCTGCCCTTACCCTACCCGCGAATCCCAGGTGTTCAGCCACACCACGGGCAGTCTCCCAGCCTCTGCTCTCCCTTTTCACCGCCCCCCCCTCCACCTCCCGCCCTCCACTCCGCCTCCAGGGCCTTCACACAAGCCTCTCTCTTGGCCTGAAAGACTAGCCACCCCCTCATTTCCCCCAACCTGTTCCCTCAATGCACCCCCCCACCTTCTTGCATTTCTTGTCTCCCCCTTCCTGCTGCCCTATCCTGGTAGGTTCCCTCCCTATAAGCAGCCCTGCACCTTTGTTCGCGCTTAATAACAGAAGAGAGTGTTCCCTGAGCACTCACCATGTGCCATTAGCTCACTGAATCCTTTCCAAGAACTCCCTAGGTTAAACATCACTACGACTGTTTTCCAAATTGAAAAACCAAGTCACCGACAGTTAAGTGACTTAGCCAAGGCCACCCAACGGGAAAAGAGCCGGGGCCAAAGGACGGTAGGTTAGGCTCCGAGGGCAAGACCCTTTGTCAGAGCATGGTTTTGCCCTGATGTAGGAGTCACGGGCTTATCATTGGGCTTCACATTAGAATCACCTGGGGAGCTTTTCAAATACACCGATGCCCAGGCCACCGACAGCAAAGATCTGAATGTCTTGCCAGGACCAGCATCAGAATTTGTTTAAAGCCCATGGGGGAAAGGACCTTTTGGCTTGTCTGTCTCCACCAGATAAGGCAACTTGGAAGAAAAGAACCAGCCTTATTCATCATTATATTCCCAGGGTCACCTAGCACATCAGAGGGACTGGATGTATTGAAAATGAATGAATGAGTGAAGAAACAAATGAGTACATCGGACATCTCACAGGAACAAAGAACCCCATGTTCCCTTCCTTCCTTCCTGACTTCATCCCCTTGAGGAGGTCCCCACAAAGGAGGGCTGGTTAAGAACTACTCTGCCCAGGGCCTTGCAGTGGGAGACAGGGTATCCTAGTCCTCAAGGAAACCAGCTGCAAGCCAGAGCCCTAAGGAGAGGAAAGACTGAAAGACCGGGCATACAGAAGGGCAAGGATGTGCATTTGGGGAGGACATGGGAAAGGCCTGACGAGGCACATGCCAAAAAATAGTGATGCTCCTCACACCCACCAGAGGCCAAGAAGATGCTGCCTGTCGCCGAGAGAAGTTGGAGGACCCCTGGATGGAGAAAAGGGAATAGAAAACAATTGTTCTTTTGATGTGTGTGAGTCATTTTGATACTTTTTATCCGATTCTGTTTAATTTTTTAAATTAAATCACTGGCTGTGGCCTACTAAATTGACTTTAGGATCTAAGGGGTCCCAACCCACAGTTTGAAAAACCCTGCTGCCCCAGCTGATCTCCTGGCTTGAAACACATAAGCTGACTACCCTGAGACTCAACTCCACCCCTGAGATGGGTGTACACATCCGAATGTTTCTCACATGCACACAGGTTTACCCATGATCTGGCCTTTCAGGGTCCTCCCAGCCCATCCTTCGTGTTTCAAGCCCCACCCAGGAGTCGCTGTTGATGCCCTCCTGTCTCTGACTTGGCAAATCCCGTCAGTTCTACAGCCAGCGTGTATCTGGGATCTTCTTGAACTTTCTACTTCTTTCTGTGCCCACTGCCACCCTAGCTCAAGCCACCATCCCCTCCCTGGGACTGACAGCACAGAGCCAGCCCGGAAGCTTTCATCCCTGTCCCTCACAGCTCGCTCCCCACTCTGCGACCAGAAGGGCCTTTCTGATTGTTTACCTGCTCATTCCCACAGGTTACGGGGGAAGGACGGGGCGCTCCTTACCACAGCCCGCAGGCCTGTGCGTTCTGGCCCGCTGTCATAGGAAGATTCCTCAGGCTCCCCAGTTTGCTCCCGCACACAGCCAGCTCATCCGCAAGGCTGGCCCAGCGCCTCAGGGCCTTCCTCTGGCTTTACTCTTCAAGGTTCCTTCATTTAGCCCTTAAGCTCAGCCCAGATCCCCCTTCCTCAGAGAACTCTTCCCACCCCTAGACTAAAAAATCCCCCACAAACTTCTCTCTGTGACAGTTGCTCGTCACCCTGATCATCTCCTTCATTGCTTTAGTCACATTTTTGTGACTCGTTTCCTGACTTTGGGCCCAATGTCTCTAACCCTGACGAGGGTGAGGGCTCCATGAAGTCAGGGGGCATTCCTGACTGGCACCTACTAGCACTGTTTATGTCGGTTAGATGCGTAAATGAAGAAATGAATGAGTAAAATTCTATACAGAACAGTAAACTCCAGGCTCTGACCTCTGGAGGGTGGGGGTGGGCAAGGGGCGGCTGTGGGGGGTGGGAGGGGTGAGAGGAGACGCAGGCAGGGGCGGGCGAGCTGAGGCTGCTCTCACCATCAAGCTGACTTGCAAAACCAGTCACTTCTTCACACTCGTCTCACCTGCAACCTCTGAGGGAGAGCCACATTTCCTGCAGGTGCCCGCCCTGGACGTGCCTGGGGCCCGGTGCCCTGCTGCCCGGGCAGTGGCCTTACCTGCTGTGCAGAGGGACAGTCGCATCCCTGTGACTGGCATGACTACGACGCAGGACAGGATGGCAGGTGGAAAGGCTCCCCTGCTCTGGAAGAGGCTGCGCCTGGTCTGAGGGTCATTTCTTTCTTGATCCCCACTCTCCTCCTCTTTCCTACTCACATGGACAGATTTTACTGAACAAACACTTATCCAGTGCCTCCTGCAGGCCAGCCACTGTGTGAGGTGCTCGGGACGCAGAAGAGCAGAAAAGATGGCTACTCAAGTGACCGTGGAGGTGAGTTACCCGGATGAGTAACTGAGGCACAGGCTGGGGGGGGGGGCGAGCCAGCCAGGATGGCTGCTGCGGGAGGTGAGGAGGAGGATGGCCTGAGAGGTGAGGGCCCTGGGGTCCCCCGGGGCCGAGGGACAAGGGGACCAGTGGAAGGAGAGAAAAGAGAGGGAAAGTGAGCTGGCGTGTGTGGGCCAGGCTCGCTGTGCTCTCTTCGCTGCCCGCCCTCATAACAACCACAGTGCCAGGGAGAGCCTGTCACGATCCTGTTTTACAGGTGAGAAAGTTGTAGCTCCAAGAAGGAAATTACTTGCTCGAAACTCCAGGGTAGGAAGTAGGGCAGTGATTCAAGCTCGGGTCACTGCAAAGTGTGAGGTGGGAAAGTGTGGACTCCCCCCTCTAGTCCTACCTCAGTGAAGTGAGGCCAGAAGTGTCCCCCACCCAGGCTAGGCTCTGGCCCCCCAAGTAAGCACAGAACAGGTGCCAAGACATTTTCTCTGGGGGAACCAAGAACAGCTCTCTCTCTCTCTCTCTCTTCCTTCCTCCCTCCCTCCCAACATCCTGTTTATGCCCACAATTCTCTCCATTCCCCTAAGAGCTAAGCTTTTGGGAACTAAAGCCTGGAAGACTCTTTTTTTTTTCTGCCCTCCACCCCTTCACACCCTTCCTGGAGGGAAGGGCAAACAGCCCCTCTGATTGGAAGGGCAAAGGGAAAGAGGAAAAAATTGTTCATGCTTCAATAATAATGTCCTGCACAGTATTCCCTTGTGCAGCGATGGCCTTGGATGACTTCTTCCCAGTGGCAGAACCCGAGTGTGCCAGGGCCACTCTTTGGGGATGCAAGAGAACGCGACACTGCTGGTGCAGGAAACACCACCCCCGCCAGGACCCGCTCACCCGGCCATTCGCCCAGGTTTCCTCAGTCTCATGATGTAAGGGACCCGCTAGGCTTCCCGGGGGAGAACCCCTGGGGCAGTGCAGTGAGTGTGGGGTCAGGCACAGCCTCCACTCCCCCAGCCCCCAGGGCCCCACCTGGCACTCTGGGTTGAAATTCCACATGCATTTCTCTTCTCTCCCACTACTCCAAGAGCTCCTTGACAGCCGGGGCTGCCCACAGTCACAAAGCCCTCATCCCATAATGCTGTTGCACTTCAGTCACCCAGTTGTGTCTGACTCTTTTGTGACCCCAGGGACTGTAGCCCACCAGTCTCCTCTGTCCATGGGATCTCCCAGGCAAGAATACTGGAGTGGGTTGCCATTTCCTTCTCCAAGGGATCTTTCTGATCCAGGGAATGAACCCACCTCTCCTGCATTTGGCAGGAGAATTCTTTACTGCTGAGCCACCAGGGAAGCTCCATCCCATAATGAGTGCAGCAAACACTCTCAATGAAGAGGAGGCACTATGGTTTGTATAAGGGAGCTTTGCTATGATTCTTCTCTTTGGAGTCCCTCCTACCTCAGACTCTGTCTCACCCATGGAGATCTCGGGAACATGAATGAATAAGGAGCCTTACACTGGATATGGAGGGCTGGTGATAAGGGAAGAGAGGACAGCTCTGGTCCCCAGGACACCAGTTTCACCTGAGTTGCATTAGGAAACCCCGGCTGGATAAAAGGAACAGAGAGAAGGAAGCAGCAGGCTTCCCAAGTGGCCAGGAACAAACACTTGGTTTGCATGAGCCCTAGGAAGCAAAACGGTTCATGGAAATGTCCTGTAGCACCTCTTCCCATCCCCCAGGTTAGGAATGCATTTCCACCTGGACACAGTACACCCTTAGGTACACGCTGGTCTACAGTTTTCACTTTCCCACAGTCACCATTTGTCTCTTCTCCCAGACCAATTAGATCTGTAGCCCCTGTAGCATTTTTCCCATATTTTCTTTATTACTGGGACAGGCTCCCTGAGAGCAGACAGGTTTTCTTCTGCAAAGTGAGCTGCTAATGACCATCCGTCCATGCTCTTTGTTAGAGATGCTCACTGTGGCCACAATACCCAGCCAGCACAACTCGAGAGGTTTTCTCTGAGCCTTGACTCCTGTGAGATAATAGAAAATATATATATTGGTCTCTGCCACCTAGTACCTGGCGTGTGTGTGCTGTCTCTCAGTCTTGTCCAGCTCTTTGCAACCCCGAGGACTGTAATCCACCAGGCTCCTCTGTCCATGGGATTCTCCAGGCTCTTGCCTGGATTGGATTGCCATGTCCTTCTCCAGGGCATCTTCCTGACTCAGGGATTGACCCACGTCTCTCATGTCTCCTGCATTGGCAGGCAGATTCTTTACCACTAGCGCCACCTGGCACAGAGTTCCTAAAGCCCTGGTTTCCTGAGTGACAAAAATATCATTTTTTTTTTCTGATGAAGTGACTCTCGGTGGGCTCCTGGATGGTCACTGGTATCTAGAAAGACTAAGCCACGAGAAGCTTGGAATTTTCAACCCCAACTTCCTATCCTTCAGAGTTAATGATCGCTCAGGGCTAAGTAATGAAGCTTTCACAGGGACTTCCCTGGTGGTCCAGTGGCTAAAATTCCACACTTCTGCTGCAGGGGGCATGAGTTCAATCCCTGGTCAGGGAAATAAGATTCTGCAAGCCATGCAGTATGGCAAAAAAATAGGAAGAAAAAAAAAAGAAGCCTCCACAGAAATTCCAAAAGTGTGGGGTTCAGAGAGCTTCTAGGTTGGTGGACACAGAGGTTTGGGGAGAGTCCTTACCACGTCCCAGGCCTCTCTCCCATCTGGCTGTTCCTGAGTTAAATCTCTTGGTGATAAACTGGTAATCTGGTGAGTAAGATGTTTCTCGGAGATCTGTGAGCTGCTCTAGCAAATTAGTTGAACCTGAGCAGAGGGTCATGGGAACTTCCATCTGCAGCCTCTTGCTCCAAAGCACAGGTAACAACCTCGACCTAGAGACTGGCATCTGAAGTGGGTGTAGGAGGTGGAGAACCTTGTAGGACTGAGCCCTTAACAAAGAGATCTGACTCTAGCTCCAGGTAGTGTCAGACTGAGTTAAATTACAAGATACAGAGAATGGCTCCTTGTGGGTGAAAATCATCATATGTCTGGTATCAGAAGTTGAGGAAAGACTGAGGGGAGGGGTTTCCTAAACAATTCTTATCTGCAAAATGAGGGTCATAATAGCTATTTTTCAATGACATTATGAGGATTAAATGAAATAATCTTTGTAGTGGATATGATATGCTGCACAAATTCCAGTGTGGAAGAAACATTGCATCATCTGCTTATTTGTCTCTAAACCAACTTAAAAGTTTTAAGGTGCACTTATTTTTTTTATTTTATTGTGTGCACAGAATAAGATGCACCTAAATGTTTTGTAATGCACCTATTTAAAGTACACAATCTGATCAATTTTGCAGAATGCATGTACCAGTGAAACCACCACAATCAAGTCATAGAACATTTCCAACACCCTAAAATGTTCCCTCCTGCCCTCTTCAGCAGTCCCTCCCCTACTCCAGTTTCAGGCAACCACTGATTTACTTTCTATCACTGTAGATTCATTTTCCAGCATCTTGTTTGAATGGAATTTCACGCAGTAAAACGTCTGTAAGGTTCACCCATCTTGTCATATGTATCAGTAGTTTACTCCTTTTCATTATTGAGGGGTAGTCCGTTGTAGGAAAACACTACAACTTGTTTATTCAATTCTCCTGCTGGCGGGTTTGGTGTTCTTTTCCAGTTTGAGGTCATGATGAATGAAGCTGCTATGAACATTCATGAACAAGTCTTTGTGTGGACATATGTTCTTATTTCTTTTGGGTAAATGCCTAGGGGTGGGATTGTTGGGTCATGTGGTAAGCGTAGGCTTATTAGAAATTGCTAACTCTCTTCCAGAGTAGCTATATCATTTTCTACTCCCACCAGCAGTGTATAATAATTCTGTGTGGATGACTCTGCCCATGGGGATGTTCCTGCTTGAGGGAAAAGTTCTGTTACAGATAGCTTCCCAAAATGCCCACGCAGTTGGGAGGCAGTGGGGCTCCTGGGACAGGTCGCTGGAGCCTTCCTTGGATACTTTCTTGGATCCCTTGGGGAGAGCCACCCGGGTCCTTTGCTCTCGGGCGCTACCTAGTGGTGGGTAGTGCACGGTACAGCCCAGCTGCCTTCATCCTTGAAGACAGGTTTTTCACTTGTACCTCAGGAGGAATGTGAACACTTGGACTCCACTGTGGCTCAAAATTTTCGCTTATGTTTCCCCTCTAAGTGCTATTTTAATATCTGATTTTTTAAAATTCTACTTTATTCCTTTAAAAGTAAATGTGTTGGCCAGTAAGAATATTAAAAGATATGCAACATCACTAGTTATTGCATGCATGTGTGCTCAGTCGTGTCTGACTCTTGCAACCCCATGGACTGTAGCCCACCAGGCTCCTCTGTCCATGGGATTCTCCAGTCAAGAATACTGGAGTGGGTTGCCATTTCCTGCTCCAGGGGTTCTTCCTGACCCAGGGGGAAATGCAAAACAAAACTACAATGAAATGCCACCTCACACCCATTAGGATGGCTACCATCAAAACAACAGAAAATAACAAGTGTTGGTGAGAATGTGGAGATGCGGAATACTTGTTAGGGGGAATGTCAATGTCAGTGCAGCCACTGTGGAAAACCATATGGAGGTGCCTTAAAAAATTAAAAAAGAATTATCATATGATCGAGAAATTCCACTTCTGGGTGTATGCCCCCCAAAATTGAAAACAGGGACTCAAAGAGATATTTGTACCCTCATGTTCATAGCAGCATTATTCACAATAGCTAAAACATGGAAGCTTCCCAAGTGTCCATTGAGGATGAAAGGATAAACAAAACATGGTACAGTGGAATACTACTCAGCTTCAAAAATAAGGAAATTCTGACACATACTGCAAT